TCCTTCTCCAGGGCAACTTCAACACAGAGTTCACAGTGTGGGACACTTTCCAATATCGGTTCGGCAGCCTCTCAAAGCCACAGCCTATGTCAGCCCAACGGTTCAAGGGAGCAGCAGCGGCAGTGGCAGCGGTGGTGGTGTTCCGTTGTCCGGCAACTTACAGCTACACTCCAACACAGGCATCCCGATGCCAAACAAGACTGCAAACGCCAGCATTGCAGCTCGCAGTGGCCTCCCAAGGCCTTCCCTGGCTATAGGGGGGAGCAGCATACCCAGGAGCAAAATTGCACAGCCAATCCGAAGGTAGGAGTTGACTTGCTAAAGGGAAAAATTGGAGTGTTTTTATGCAGCAACTGGAGAACTGGTTGACCAATCAGCCCTCTCTGGAGAGCTCTAAGGCTGTCAGGAGGGGGCTGGACGTCTCTCGAGTGAGAATTTGCAGCCCTGGAATAGCTAGGATTCTCTGGGAGAGTCATGAGAGCTAAACTGGTATCAAATGGATATAGGTTGAACAGTGCAGATTTGAATATAATGCCTTAGCTTAACAAGTCTGTTGTAGATCAATACTTTATCTTGAAGTTATAGCCAACTCTGATACGGGGGACGGAGGGTGATTAAAGAAAAGTAAGTTGCAACTTACTTCTGAGGGCTGCCTTTGTTGTTGTTGTTGTTTAGTCGTTTAGTCGTGTCTGACTCTTCGTGACCCCATGGACCAGAGCACTCCTGCCTTCCACTGCCTCCCGCAGTTTGGTCAGACTCATGCTGGTAGCTTCGAGAACACTGTCCAACCATCTCGTTCTCTGTCGTCCCCTTCTCCTTGTGCCCTCTATCTTTCCCAACATCAGGGTCTTTTCCAGGGAGTCTTCTCTTCTCATGAGGTGGCCAAAGTATTGGAGTCTCAGCTTCAGGATCTGTCTTTCCAGTGAGCACTCAGGGCTGATTTCCTTCAGAATGGAGAGGTTTGATCTTCTTGCAGTCCATGGGACTCTCAAGGGCTGCCTTTATGGACTACCTAAAAAGGATGCACTTGTCCACCACCTGAGCCCATAAGAGAAGCCTCACATGACCACCTTTTCTAGGGCTGAGTATAGACTTTAGTTTAGAGGATTCATTCTCCACAAATTTAGCTGTTGTTGGAACCCTCAGCAAAGGAGAATGCTCTTGTGCTCAGATCCCACCTGTGCCTTTCCCCACAGGTATTTGGTTGGTCCATGTGAGAACAGGATGTTGTAGTCTTTAAATAAGCACCTACCACCGGCAAAAAAGGAGTGAGAAACTGCCTTTAATAATATGCAAGAAGTCCCTTTCATGCAACACTTTCTATATCCTTCAGAAATAAATTACGCTGCGCCATGTGTAATTTATGAGGGAAATAGACTTTTTTTCTCTTTTTTGCTGCCTGACTGCAGCTGAACCAACTGGAGATAAGATTTTGAGAGTTGCCCAAACAAAGCTGCAGTTGACTTGGAGAGTCGCGTGTTGTGCCAGGCCTACTCTTGTTCTGCTCTTCTGTTCTCCTGCAGGGTTGATCAGCAGACTTTTCCAAGAAGAATCAGGAAAGTGCTTTCCAACTCCCTCCTTTTAAGAATATTTTAAAGTAAAAGGAAGCCAGCGATCGTATAAACTTAGCTTGCGACCCACTAAACAGAATGCTGCCTGCTAAAACGTAAAGGGACCCCTGACCATTAGGTCCAGTCGTGGCCGACTCTGGGGTTGCGGCGCTCATCTCGGTTTATTGGCAGAGGGAGCCGGCGTACAGCTTCCGGGTCATGTGGCCAGCATGACTAAGCCGCTTCTGGTGAACCAGAGCAGTGCACGGAAACGCCGTTTACCTTCCCGCCGGAGTGGTAGCTATTTATCTACTTGCACTTTGACGTGCTTTCGAACTGCTAGCTTGGCAGGAGCAGGGACAGAGCAACGGGAGCTCAATGCTGCCTGCTAGCGAGCAGCAAATAGAGGAGATCACTCAACCCCTAGCAGAGCCCATAGCATTGGAGAGGAGGCATAGGTCAGCGGTAGGACATGTGCTTAGCATGCAGAAGGCCCCAGGTCCAATTTCAGGCATCTCCAACTGAAAGTAGCATGTGATGGGAAAGACCCTGATGAGACAGATGCTGCTTGGGTAGGTAGATTAATGGTCTGACTCGGTAGAAGAAGGCCTCACCCTGTGTTCCTGTGGCTGATGAACTGTGCCTGGTTTTGTAGGTCACAAGTTGTGCAGACCAGCTATGTTTTGTTTTTTTCTAATGGAGCAGCTGGAACACTGTCAGCTACTGCAGTGCAATATTTCCTTGGGGAGAACCCTGATTAAGTTATCCTGTTTCGTTAAGCCAAGAGCCATTTAACAATTCGACATCCACTTTAATTGTGTTGATAGTTTGATAATGAAGTGTTACTAAATGTTATATATCTGTAATTAAAGGTAGCAACCCAAGGGCTAAGTTCTGGCGCACCACTGGGCAGCTTAAAAATACCTTTGGCTTCAGTAGGATTTGAGCAACTTAACTGTGTGCATGGATTGCTGCTAAGGTGGTTCAGCACTGGGTCAGGGAGAACTTACCTGCATCGTTCTTGAAATAGTAGCATGTGGGAGATGCAGGGAAGTCTTCTATAATTGGCAGTAAAGTATATTAACCTGTACCTCTTACCTTAGACAGTCTATCCAAAAAGACTGTCTGGAAATCTGCAAAATCATTGGCACACAGTTGCTGAATCTCTTTAACTAGATGTGCCAGGGATTGAACCAGCATTGGCTCTACTTACATAGCTACCATTTCTCCCAAAATTACTGAAAAAAGGGCAGGGGAGGGGGGAAAGGTGGATTCGAAGCTCACTCATATTTTGAAAGGAACTCTGCATGTTTACAGCTGTTGAGAAAATGGTCTCTCTTAGCAGTACCTCACAAATTATGACTGGGCACATGCCATACGTTTAAAGCACATGACTTCCCCTAAAGAATTGTAGGAGCTATAGTTTAAGGGTGCTGGGAAACTACATTTCCCAGGATTCTTTGAGAGAAGCCGTGTGCTTCAAATGCATGGTATGTACATGGCGCATGTTTTTAGCATGTACCACATGGTAAAATGGTTACGTGAGGAAGACTTAATACATAACCTGGAAGACATGTACCTTCATCATGGAGCTTGTGATTCAGCCAACCTCCCGGCTCTGTTAATACTTTAAAAAAAATTGAACTGTAGACCAAACAGTGTTTTTAGTGCCTCTACACTCGCATTTGTTAACCTTTTGAATCACTAATTTTGCACTGCATATTTCATCACTTGTGATGCATGGTTGACATGTATATTTTCTGGGCCCACTACACTGTATGTAGATGAAGCCCACTGACACAGCTTTGCATAAAATTTACATGTGTTTTGTTGTATTTGAAAAACCTACTTGTCCCATCTTTGAGGGACTATCAGAAGCCTCTTATCTGAGAGTGATGGTTCATTTTTAAAAATGAAAAGAAGGCTAGAGCCTTTCGAACTCTGTAGGGATGACAGACAGATACTGTGCATTGCCTTCTCTTAAGCTATAATTTAATACCTCTGTTCCTCTGAAGTGGCCCCTGAAATCCACCACTAGCAGCATAGGCATTTTTTCATGTCGGGGTGGGGTGGGGGAGCGCTGAGGAGAAATGAGTTTCAACAAGGTGTAGACTAGTGGTCCTTCCTCAATTTGCAGTTGACAGTTTAGTCCAGGGGTCAGCAACCTTTTTCAGCCGTGGGCCAGTCCACCATCCCTCAGACCATGTGGTGGGCCGGACTATATTTTGAAAAAAAATAATGAACCAATTCCTATGCCCCACAAATAACCCAGAGATGCATTTGAAATTAAAAGCACACATTCTACTCATGTAAAAGCATGCTGATTCCCAGACCGTCTGTGGGCTGGATTGAGAAGGCGATTGGGCCTTAGGTTGCCTACCCCTGGTTTCGTCCGGGGGAAATAGAAGAGAAATTCTGAATTCTGTTATTTATTAGTGTTTCTTGAATCTGTCATTTTAGATATTAGGAATCGTAACATCTCCTGGGGGCTTCCTGTCTTGATTCTTGATATCCTTCCCCACACAATGTAGATAACTGGGGCTGCCTACACACTGCACCTTTAAAGTACATTCTTTCCCTCGAAGAATTCTGGGCACTGTAGTTTACTGCTTTCAGAGTTAAAATTGCCAGCAATCCTACAGTGCCCAAACTTCTTTGAGTGGGGAAAATAGCTTTGAATGGGGCTATAGCTTTGAAGCTATAGCCTCAGCTGCTTTCCTCACAGTCACGCAGTCCAAAAGGCTCTCTTGACCCCATCTTTTGCATTGTGAAAGGCAACAGATGCATCGACAAAGTAGTTTATTCTCTGTAATGTGTGTTGTCACTCTTTTCCGCAATGCTTACCCTGAACTATGGTTTGTTTCTTGAAACAGTTTTCTCCAGCCGCCAAAACCTCTTTCTTCGCTTAGTACTCTACGGGACGGCAACTGGAGGGATGGCTGCTATTGACAATGGGTCGAGCCGAAATTCAGATTCTCCTACCCAGCTGGCTGGGTAAATATAACTGTGAGAGACTGGGTGAATAACACAGGGCTGTTTCTTACTCTTCTGTCATTGTCGTTGGTCACTAAACATATTACACTTAGTTGTTTGCTCAGAAAAACAAACAGCAGTGTTGTCAAATTAACGTTGCAGCATTATGGTTTAGGTTTTTAAAAACACATACACAAAGTATCCCACTGGGGGGAGCCAAAATGTGACTTCTGGGTGCTTTGCCATAACAGTGTTCAGATCTCTTTGATTCGTGTACTACTTTTTGTTGCTTTAACGAGTTCCCTTGCAAATTGGCAAAATAGATCCATATCCTTACCTGCTGCTTCTTTTGTAGCCTTTCCAAGGGAGTGTATTTTTGCACACCCACATTTTGCTTGAATCATAGGGTATCGAAGCATTTTGTGTGTGCCATAAATCTACCCCCCCACACACATTTTTTAATAGTAAGGTACTGTTATGTTCAAGATGTATTTCTAACCATGCCAATCTCCCCAAATCCAGCTACAGCTATCCACGCACAGATGCAGACATCCATACACATATTTCTAACTGCATGGGGGAATATGGATGGTTTTCAGCTGCTTAAGAAGTCACATCCAGTTCCAGTCAGATTCTTGGTGATACTCAGTTCACCTGTTCTTGGGCCTGTGTGTATGTTAGAGAGATGGGGCGAGGTGTCTGGATTTAGACCTTACCCCACTCTTGGGACTTGAAAAAGAGTATTTCCCCCCCTTACATCACATGCCAGGTCTATTCTTGAGTACATATATTGCTGCATTGGGGCCATGATGGACAAGATGACAGCTGTGTTGTATGTTTATGTTGTGAGAGCACACACTAAAGTATTTGCTCGAAACTGCCATGACTTCCTGGTCAACACGAACCTGTCTCTCATTTCCTTGTTCCAATGTTAATTTATTATCACGGGGGTGTTGTATTTATAAAGAGGGCATAAATTGCATTGCACTTGAAAGATGCGATGGTCTCCTAAATGGTTGGGTTTCGATACTTTGTAATAAAGAATAAAATTGCAATGTTTTATTAACACTTGTGTTTGGTGAAAACAAACAAGTTTTCATGGAAGTAAAACCTTTTTGATAGACCTTTTGCAAGAAAAAAAATTGCACTAATCAATGCTTTCTTACTATGGGGATATGATTTTAATACTTGATTACAACTTGTATTCTGCTGATCTGGAATGTTTCAGAAATAAAGAAATCTATTTCAGCAATCTCATGCCATTCTTGGATGTGCAATAGAAATAGTGAGTCTGCCTCTTATTTCCTTAGTAGAATGGAGAGTTCCTGTGGTAGAGTGAGCAAATTATGGCTGGAAAAAATTGACAGTGTAAGTTACAGGCACTTGGTACTCCAGCTGCTCAATCCAGCCTTTTAGATGTTCCATTTGTCCTCCATAACCACATATATCTCTCAGGTGGCACAACTGATCCATGCATCTGGCTGTTAACCAGAAGGTTGGTGGTTGAAGCCCACCCAGCGATGGCCGGGGGCAGGATTCCGGACTATATACCAAGAGCAAACTCAGTCCCCAGGTGCTGGTCTTGCTATAGCCAAAATAGCCCCATCCATATCAGCATCCTTCAGGGAGCCCCACAATTTGCAGATCTTTAGGGGGCAGAATAAAACCTAAGTGGAGAGTGTTGGACTTTTGCGCCAACACAGAGTGTGTGCAGTGGCGTAAAAATCAAAGGCTGTCTGCAATATTTTTGCTTAGATTTATTTCAAAAACATAACAGTCAAACTCTGCAAGCCATCACTCCTCCTCACCAGCAGCATACAAAAATATTAATCCTATCACATCACTTCCTGCATCCGGTGCAGAAAATAATTAGTCAAATAGGCAAGAGACCACAGGTGTGCAGCTAAGTACCGTATTTTTCACTCTATAAGACCCACCTACTTTTTGGAGGAGGAAAACAAGAAAAAAATATATTCTGAATCTCAGAAGCCAGAAAAACAAGAGGGATCACTGCGCAGTGAAAGCAGCAATCCCTCTTGCTGTTCTGGCTTCTGGGAGAGCTGCGCAACCTGCATTCACTCCATAAAACGGACACACATTTCCCCTTACTTTTTAGGAGGGAAAAGGTGAGTCTTATAGAGCAAAAAATACAGTAAGTCAAACTGCAAACACACACCTGTGAGCTTCAATTAATCAACCCTGTTCCTGCTTAGCATCATTGACCACTTTAAGATAAAGAAAAACCAGCGGAGAGAAGGGTGGCCAAAATTACTGAGCTCTAAGCATTCTTGGTGGCCAAAGAATTAGGAACATACATTGTGGGGTGGAGAATAATGGAATGTTCTGACAGTCAACATGGCTAGCTGGAACACTGAAACGTGGGGTTACGGGTCCCACTCCTAGCTCCTTTATTACGTACCTCAGACATATTTTCCTGCACCGCACACCCTTTGCTCCCCCTCATAGCTCTACCTGAAAGCACCTGGTGTTCTGAGGCCAGGTATATTTGGAAAAGGGTGGGTGGGAAACTTTACCTTGCAGGGCTGTCCTCCAGGGTCGCAGAAGTGGAATGAAATAGGTCACTTGTTGAACCCTGTCACCGGAGCCTCCATTAGCGCACCATGTATCAGTGCCACAGGTCGCTGGTATGACACTCAGCATGTTGCACTATAAGGTGTTCTGGCTTTTTGCCTTCCAGCATACAAATACCTAAATAAGCAAAAGTGAAAAGACATGGAGCACAACATTCCTCAGTTTACCATCCCGGCCTAATTTCTTATCAGCCTAGAGTTGTTTAGTTCAATTTGTGTGTGTCTCTGTGGCTGGAAAGGAACATTTTAAAAAGGAGGTAACTGCTACAGTTTCTTGTTTCTGTTCATAGTGGGAGATTGTGGGTTACAGAGCCCTTACCGGGGTCTGGGATCCCGGTAATGAGGGATCCCCTCAATGAGGTGGAGAAATTGTTGCTGGCACTTTGTGCCTTCCTCAGTTCAATTGGCCCTGTTAAAACCAGGGAGTAAAACAGTAACTAATTAAATGTCCATGTTCTTTTTGGGTCCTGTAGAAACTCCCCTTTGCAATAACCATACACACTGTGTGAGGGTCACTTTACAGAAACTCATCTTCCCTTTCCACCCACCTCAAGACAATCTTGTGTGCTACATCAGATATGAAAGTCATATTAGTATGGTTTTGGTCACTTTCCCCTTCAAAATGAGCAGGGGCCTGACCATTTCACATTTATTTTGCAGAATTATAAATTGGTTCACAACTAAAAGTTACTGGAGCGTTGTACAGTGAAAGATTAAATAGAAAATTGTTTTGTTTTTATAATTATGCAGTTAATTCCATGGACTGGCTGGGTCACACAAAAATTGTCTTCAATAGCTGCTTGCCTGAATTCAAGTGCTCACTCCAGAAGGCTGGAGTTGCAACACTAAAAGCCCAGTTTATGCTGTATGCTACGCACACCTCGGAGGTACGCAACAGCGCCTCATCAGAGGACCACAGTTGCTGGCTGGGAACGGGGGGGGGGGGCATCTGCTTCTATGCATAACAAAGACACTCTGGCAAAAGTGTGAAGAGTGTGTACTTGGCATATCATTTTATCAACTACAAAAGTATAATTCTAAGGTGGTGGGAATAGTCTAATAAATCTCTTAACAACAAGGGGGCCTGCTGTTCAACTCATTCAACCCTCCTCATTCAGTTCAGGAGCAATATGGATCTCTGAATCGGAGCATTCACATGCAAATTGAATAAGAAATGCACTTCAGTCAAATCTACATCTCCCTCCAGCAGCAATTTCTGCCACAGATGCAAGAAGACATTAAGAGGATATTAATTTAAAATCCATAGGAGTAAAGCATGTGTGTGTGAAAATCTCAATTGCTGCATTTTATTTTCTGTACATTGCATTACAAATTCATGACACCTGTGGCTTTTCAATCATACCAGGGCTTAGCCCGGGAATCCGTTTTACATGCCAGACCATGGGATGGCGAAGAAAAGTGCCTTTGAGCATGTGCAGTGTGCTTTTTCCTCATGACAGTAGTTTGAGTCCATGCACACGGATTAAAAGGGTGGAATGCCAGAGCCAATGGCATGCTATTGCAGCAGGCTTGCACCTCGGCACATCTCGGATTCCTTCCCAGTTAGGTTGCAACCCTGTACACCAAGGGGGCAGGGCAGGGGAGACAGCATCACTCCCCTGAGCCCAGGGCTACGTACTCAGTAGTGGGCTAGGTCAAAAACATAGAGTAAAAGCAAGCATATGTGATATAAGTGGGGCATCGGGTTTTTTTTAAGGATGGCTTCCCCACCCTGCCCCATTGCACACAAAAAAAGCTGCTACCTCAGTTCAGGGAATAAGGGGTCCTTGAAAAGAATCTAAAGTTCTCATCTGATTAAGCCTAGGTGCTCTGTGAGCCTCACCAAAAAAACCATCTTCATAATGACGCATAATCTACATGTCCAGTTCAGACAGCAGATTCAGAAGCATCTGCCATAAACATTACCGAACATGTCCAGCCTTCTCCCAAAGCTACTCATTCCAAGGCACAGTTTGTAATAAGAGAAGGGATTTATTGATTATTATTTTTATGAAAACAGTCCATTTGTGACCCATCAGCAAAGGATTAGTGCAAGGGAGAAGCTCCAGCTTGTGTAGCATCTCCACCCAAGTGACTAAGCATGAAGGTAAAAGGAAGTTAAGCAGACAGGTGAGCTAAATGTCAGTGTGAGTAGAAGATGAATGATATTTAATCATTTGAGTTATTCATCAGCTGGAGGTGAAACAAGGGTATAGCAACTGGGGATCTGCAGGAGCTACTCTAATCTTAGCTGGGTAATCCTTTAGAAATCTGCAGCTCAGCTCCTTGGTTTCCAGAGAAGATCCTGTAAAAACTTGCAGCTCTCCTCTAGCAGAGAAGCCCTGAGTGGGGACCTAAACTAAACCTAACTTTGGAAAGGGGAGGCAAATAAGCATATAGTTCCACGTTAGCTAATCCCACAGTGCAGAACTAGTCTACAAACAAAAAGTGTAAGTTTAGCTTTCGGTTTAAGCTCAGTGGAGTCTAGGGATGCATGAATCTCCTAATTCTGGTTTCTTTCCATTTCTTTCCCCCATTCTTAAGTCAACATCATTTTGTGATTTTTTTCGAATCAAAACTAGTAACAGAATCTGAAACTGAATTTAAGCTTTTTCCTGTCTTACAAAGTCACTGTGAATGGTAATTATTTTGCTGTCCACATGAGGGCACTATGCACTCTGAATTTTCCTTGGTCATCCTCTGGGCTCTTTCGTAATCTTGTCAATATCATCTGCTGACACAGCAGGTCGTTTCCTGCCTTGTGTTCAGACGCAGAGATTCACAATTTCATCTTGCAGGGAGTTGAGAGCTACCATGAGAAATGCTTCCTATTTGCTCGTTATTGGCGTCTATCAGAACTGGTGGCATAAGTAATGTGAAGTTTCAGGTATTCATTAGAAAGTTATCTGCCAATATTTTGGCTTGAAGTTTTAAAATATTGCTGTTTGATGCTGTTTAGAATGGAGAGTGTATTCTGTATGTGAGGACTGGTTCGTAAAGGTAAAGGGTAAAGGGACCCCTGACCATTAGGTCCAGTCGTGGCCGACTCTGGGGTTGCGGCACTCATCTCGCTTAATTGGCCGAGGGAGCCAGCGTACAGCTTCCGGGTCATGTGGCCAGCAGGACTAAGCCGCTTCTGGTGAACCAAAGCAGCACACAGAAACGCCGTTTACCTTCCCGCCAGAGCAGTACCTATTTATCTACTTGCACTTTGACGTGCTTTCGAACGGCTAGGTTGGCAGGAGCAGGGACCGAGCAACGGGAGCTCACCCTGTCGCGGGGATTTGAACCGCTGACCTTATGACCATACATACATATTAATAATGTAATAATTGCAGTGTATGCCAATACGTATAGTGCAGCAGAGTGTTGATCTCTAGGAATGGAGAGACCTGGGTTCAAATCTCCATACAGACCATAAAGCTCACTGGCTGATCTTGAGCCAATCACCTCCCAGGGTGGTTGTGGGGATAAAAAGGGAAGGGAAAAGAGAAACTTGATCAAATATCAAACATTTGCCATAGATATAAGATTCCAGTAAGATTCAGCACAATAAAATAACTTGGAGGAGAAAAAACATACATTAAACTGACCTCCCTCAGTGGGTTAAAATGGCCTGTTATTTGTGAATGAGCAAATGGTGTACAGTGGAACAACTTCAGGGCCTATAAAGAGGGCAGTGGCAGCCGATGCTTTGCCTGACAGTTCTCCTGTTAGTGCGAACTGCAGCTTGGCCACCCAGCCCTCCACTCCCAGGGAGCTGGGGGAGCGCAGGGTGATTCAAGGGTGACCCCAGAGCCTGTTGGAAACACGCCCGGGAAGGCTGCCAACTTCCCAAGACTCCAGGGCGTCTCTCCGGTGGTCCTCCTGGCTGTAAGTCTCTCTCAGTCCAGAGAGACTGGTGATAAGCAACCTGTCCCTCCTGAGAGGAGTACTTCTGGCATGTCATAGCAGAAGAAAGAGTCAATCGTAGTTCTAAAACTACTTTATTTACAGTCTATATATGCAGAGAATCCATCAGCACGTCTGTGCTCTTTGAACATCAGTCCAGAACAGCAACACAATCAGAAGTGAAACTAACTTTCAACAGTACAGTGGTACCTCGGGTTAAGTTCTTAATTCGTTCCGGAGGGCTGTACTTAACCTGAAACTGTTCTTAACCTGAAGCACCACTTTAGCTAATGGGGCCTCCTGCTGCTGCCGCCCCGCCGGAGCACAATTTCTGTTCTCATCCTGAAGCAAAGTTCTTAACCTGAAGCACTATTTCTTGGTTAGCAGAGTCTGTAACCTGAAGCGTATGTAACCCGAGGTACCACTGTACTGAGACTTCCTGTCTCACGCTCTCTCAGGCACGCACATGATATACACAAAACATAGTGCTACTGCTGGAGCAGCACGGATGGATTAAAATCCTCACAGAGCCCACCTGGTCTGGGAATCCCTCCAAACTGCCCCTAGCCCTGCACAAAAGGTATCTCTTTGGAGTCACTTTGTGATAGAGATCCTGTAAATGGGTAGGGGCGTAGGAAGGGGGGTACGGTCTGCCCCAGGTGTCACCATTGAGGGGGTGACAAAATGGCACACCGTGGGGTGCGGCACTTACTGCGGGGTCTGGCCTGCAGCCCCCCAAGCCATGCATCTCTCCCAGGAATTGCTGGGGGCCCTGCGCTGCCTGAAATGGCAGCGTAGGGCTTGTGTCCGCCAGGCGGACTCCGTGGGCAGCTCACCGCGGCACCCCTGTGCACAGATTGCCACAGTGCCCCCATGTGAAGCCCCACCCCCCTGCGCGGATCGCCCCACCCCCGTGGCTCCAGGTCCAACAGAAGCACAGTGAGACTCATATTGGAACCGATGTTGAGTCATTCGCAACAGTGGGATCCTATTGTGGAGGGATCCTTCGCATTTGCTTGTGAGTTGGGAAGGGAGGGAATGGGAAGGGGGACCAGATATTGGCCGCAACCCTATTACACACCAACCTGAAAGTAAATTGCATTGAATTTGCCATGGGACTGACTTCCAAGTGGACACGCATACCAGTGAGCTGTCAGTGAAGGCATGTAGTTCCAATTGTAATTTGCTTGTTCCTGCTTTCCTACTAGAAAGCTTCCCAGCTTGTTC